GCCAAACTCGCCAGTGCCACAAAAGTGCACACACCAATCTCAGGAAAACTAGACTCCATTCGCAAGGTACCTTAGTTTAGTTCTGAACCGCCTGGAGTTTACTGGAGCCATATAACAGCTCTGCACCCATGAGAGGATGAGAGCAGAGCCTCTCTGGTCTCTCCAATCCTCCCTGCAGTGGGGGGCAATGGGACAGTGAATAAGATCTTTGATCTTTGATGGCACCACTCTGCATAGGCTGGCTGGGCACATTTTAATGTAGAGCCACTGTCCCTGGAGATAGGGCAAAACTATTTAACGTTATAGGTGCCTACATTCAGTGATCAAGTGCCAACCAGCCCATCCCCTGCCAATGCAGCTGGCAGTCAGAGATCTGCTTTGATCTACAAGCTATTATAACACGTAACCTTGAATACTTAATTTTATTTTAAAAAAACATCCAGATGCTGGCTAATCTGTACAGAATCTGAGAAAACAGCCTATGTAGACAGACAATTCTATATATTATTGCTTAAAAACCCTTGTCTGGGCCATAGTAAAAAATTCCATTCTTAAAGACTAAATGAGTGACTTCTACTTTGTACAGTACTTTTAATGAACAGGTTACCGGAGAGCTGTTAGTACCCTGCATGTATATTTTATAATCTTATCATATCCTATCTGAATCATCATTGTTCTAAAGTATACATGTTGTTTAGCCTTTCTTCATAACTAAAATCTTATTTCCATTGTCTGTCTTTCCCCTGTCTCTGCAATATTTTCACTTCATAATAGTGTACATTGTTTGCCAAGTCTGTCATCTAGAACCATGCCAAATCCCTTCTCACAAGATTATTCACTAAAGTGAGAATTCAAAGTGAATTTCAAATTTAAGGTCAAAACCCTGCTATACATTTCTCTAACTCAGCGGGGCTACAATTTTCATATCACTATTGTAACAGAGCCATGTAAGATTACAATAGATCTGTATATTGATTTTAACAGAATATGTAGTATTTTTGTACATATAAAATGTATTATTATTCTACTTTGTTTATCTATTTATACTTGGTACAAGCAAAAAGACAGAGGTACAATGCATCTGACACAATTCAAAACGTTACAAATACAGAAGGAGTTGATGGCCCTATTCCCATAGGAACTTACAATTTAGATGGATAGGAGGGGTGAGAAACAGTAGGTGGGGATGCTAAGGTAAGAATGATGTTAATACAGAGTAAGTTGAGGGGATTTATTGTGTATTTAGTGGAATGCGTTGGTTACTGAATTAAGTGGGAGGCACACACTGTTTAGATCATTGTTATATTTAATAAAGGCCTTGTGGTGCAGAAATATCACCTTGCATTTTGACCCCTTCAAGTTTTTATTTATGGTTTTTTGCTGGATTTAGTTTCTGTTGGCTACATTGCTATTGGGTGGAGTCTGGTTGCATGCACTCCATATGGGACAGTGGTTTTATCACTTTATTTTCTTACCTTTGTACAGTAACCATTCATGTGGAACCATATTAAAAGAACACTCCTGCATTATAAACAGTATTTGTGAATCTCATGGGCCTCATTTGTCTCTCCACACCTTAAATAAAAATAAAAACTTACATATGATCCAGCAATGAGAGGGTTCTTGCTGTAGCTCCAATTGCCTTGAGATCATTGTTGATGATCTCCTGGCCATGCCAACCTTTCTCATTTAGAAGGCATGGCACTCACTCTGCACAAGCATTGACTTCCTATTTTTGTTGGTCCACAAAGCAATCAGGAGGAGACGCCTCCCAGATGTCTTCTTGTGATATCTGCATTTTTATAAAGTGTGTAATACGGAGCACACCTTAGGGGTCTGGAATGTTCCTTTGAATTAATTGGCAAAATCCATAAAGATCACTGTCATGATCTTGTGCATGTCAGATAGGAGACTTATGCCAGGGTTGTTACTTGAGACTTTATTGGTGCTTTTAGGCATATTATGCAAATTGAGGAAAAACAGACTTTAGGCAATATGCCAAAAAAACAGGATACTTGCAAAATGATAGTCTGTGATCTCCAGGTAGGGTTGCAACAAAGGTAGGTTGGTATGGAGCAGGGTAGAAGGTAAGTCTGGAGCAGGTTCACAGGAGCCAGGAACTGAAGTATTTCAGGTAGATCACCAACTTCAATGTAAAGGCCCTATTGTGAGCAGGGTGTAGCCTTATGAAGCCTCTTCATTAGTCCAGGCAGGTGAGGATGATAAGGTGACTTGTGGCTAGGGAGGCCACTAGTGGTTGAGAGCTGGAACTTCTTTTTAAAGGAACAGAAACAAAAAGAAGATAAAACATAGCTGTCAGGATACGATCCTGACAAACACATCCACTGCAGTACTTTAATCTATACTTCTACTGACTTCTTCATAGAATGCAATTAAGTTATTTTGATGTTTTCGATCTTTCATAAAACCATGTTGATTACTACTTATGACATTGTTGTTCACTGTGAATTCCTGAATGATGACCTCCAGAAACATATCAAATAATTTGCTAAACAACAAATGCTAAGCTTATGTGTTAAAACTCCTTTAACATTAATAACAGTTTACCTGCTATTACTACACTGAGCTCCCCGAGTGTTCATGCCTAAATACCATGTAGCCCTGTGACTTTGTTTACATTAACATTATAATTTCTGCAACACTTTGTCCTGTGTCATAACATTACATGTTTACTGTAATTTTTGCACTGACTTGTATTTTTTTGTATGATCTTAGCTTTATTTGCTGATCCTCATTTATGCACACTCTTATATGGTTGTTTTAGTGAAGAAACCCTTTCATTCTTTTTAATTCTCATTTAGAACATATGTACTTAAAATGTTGTTTGGGCAAGTCTTGGTCGTATTCACTGTCCATTTTTAAACTGACCCTTTGCAAGCATGGTTGGGATCCTTATATATTATATGCATGATGCCTCTGACTCATTGGACCTAAATGCTTTTTATTGACTGGCCTTTCTACTACGCCACATTATTTATTACCTAAGGGTATATCTTGAGAGGTGTAGTTTTAGAATATTCATTTAAAGATGTTCAACTTAACCTTCGTGTTTTTTTCTGCCAGAGTCGTATATCTGCCCTTATCCACTTGCCAATTTGCCTTTTTAAAATAACATATTTTTATCAAACCCCATATAAATTTGAAAACAAAATTTTAAATTATTTCAAATTACATCATATTATGGTAATTTCCAAATCGTGATTCAATAAATACTATGATGTTTTATAGCCTTTACTACTGTTCTATAATGGGGAGTCTCGATCTTTCTGTAGGAGAGACAAGACAATTTGTTGTTAAAGCCTCCATCTAGACTTCAACACTGGGCCATGAATCGAAACTTTTAAAATCCACCGCTGTAGCTTTCTAATGCACATTAAAGAGATGATTTCATTGAAGTTAGCCTCTCTCAAATCCTTTCTAGATGAGGTCACAGAATTGAAAGTGATTTACTTTAGATACGTGGATTAGTTTTACACAGTGTAATTAACCTTCTAACTTTAAATTGGTTTGTAGAAAAGGAGGTCATTAATTAAGCATGAAAAGCTAATTATGCATTATTTAATACAATAAGATTAATATGTGACCATTTTAATCGCCATGAATTATCTTTCTTTATATTTCTTGCAAGATGTGCTTTTATTTTATTTTATATTGTATGCATTTTTATCTGCATAGTCCATTTAAAGCAAGATTTGTGTGTGTTTTAATTACATATTGTTTGTTAAAAAGCTTAACTTTTATGATTAAATAAAAAGAACCAAAAAAGAAACGGGAAACTGATTTTTAGATTTAATGAGATTCTGTTTTACACAAAACAAAAGGATTATGTGTGATCCCTCTATAGGGATTATTTAGTAAAGTGAAAATTGTCATGAATTCAAAGTGAATTTCAATTTTAAGGCCAAACTAGAGAAATTCTGGCAGTCATCTATGCTTCCAGTTTGATTACTTTGGTCTTAAATTTTAAATACACTTTGAATTGCCTTAGAATTCCTGGCAATTCTCACTTTAATTAATAACCCTGATAATCTATACATCTTGCTGCAAGCCCACTAGCACATGTACAGATTAAAATAGAATTACTTAAAGTTTGTGTAGCCTCCTCCAAGATGGCTTCAGAAAATAGATGTAAATTGGTGTATGAGCAGATGTCTGGACTCAAACAACATTAGCTCTATCACACAATAGTTGGTGTGCTTGGGACGTAGTGGCCAAGTGTGATTATGTGGGTATTGACTGTGTGCAATTCTTTGTGGGGCTTGGCTAAATAGGATTGCCAACTTTACACATACATATCACACTCAGCCAACCAACACAGAGTATGACTGTATGTGGTGTTTGCCTGCATTTAACTTGGAGTGATTGGCCCTGCTTAAGGTAACTTCCTCAAGCATGGCAATCCCCCATGCTGACGCTGACATGCTGGCTTTAGTGCACTCCATAATCCCTCATCAAGCACCCACTGGGGGAGTAACACAGTGACCAGTAGCAAGAGGACAACTTGTCACTCAATTTATGGGATTAGACCCTTTGTACCACTGGTCAAATGTTGAGGAATGCATTGCCAGGTAGGAGAGAGACCATCTTTTTAAAGAGATTTACATTTGCAAGCATTTCTCCTGTAAAGATGGAAATTAATTCTCTTTGACATAGTTATTTTATATACATTTTGATATACTGTACATTTATTAAAAATGCATGCATGTGTATACATACTGTGTTCTGAAAATATTGAAATGCTTGGGCGGTATGATCCCCCACCTGTGGATATACAGGTGCAGCAACAATTTTCCAGATGCACTGTATGGGAGTCCTGGTATGGGTAGTAGAAGCTCACCAATGGAGATGTGTCATAAAAGGAATATAAAAACAACCAATAGTGCTCCCTGATAAATAGTGATGTCGCGAACCGTTCGCGAACTTCCCGCGAACGGCTCGCCACGGTTCGCCACGAACCGTTCGCGGCGAGCTCCAGTCAGCTGACACATCCCGGCCAATCTCCAGCAGACCCTCCCTCCCAGACCCTCCCACCTCCTGGACAGCATCCATGTTAGAGGCAGCTTCAACATGGATGCTGTCCAGGAGGTGGGAGGGTCTAGGAGGGAGGGTCTGCTGGAGATTGGCCGGGATGTGTCAGCTGACCGGAGCTCGCCGTGAATGGTTTGTGGCAAACCGCGGCGAGCCGTTCGCGGGAAGTTCGCGAATGGTTCGCGACATCACTACTGATAAACAAAAGCAGCATTAAAATTAAATTAAATTAAAAAAGAAGGGTACTCACAAAAAGAAAGCAAAATTTTTTTTCCTCAACCCAAATAGCATAGTATAATCCCCACCATGGATATTTCTGGAGTGATCTTGGATATAATCTTCTAAAAGCAATTAGGAGGGTTTCAAAGTAGATACTTACAAGCACATGTACTTGCAAAACCTGTGCTACAAAAAGATATTCCTCTAATATGCTCTTCTGAAATGCTCAACATTATGCAAATGCACCACAAGCGATTGCCGTAACAAATAAAAAAAGTGAACTGTGAAAATGTTTCTAAAACAGTAGTGAGAAATGTATTTTTTTCCTATTCACATCATAAACATTCTTTGGTTTGAACATAAAAGGATTAAAATCCATTATTTTTATTTGTTTCATTTTTATATATGTCTCTTCTTCATCTATTAGAGCCGCCATTTTGAAAAATGTAGTAAGGTTTGCTGTGAGGAGTTGTTGGCATCAAAATGAACTATATATGTCTCATGGTTCCTGAAATATTATATCATCACTGCAACACATCTGCCATTTTTAAAAATGTCCTCAAGAAAAAGTCAGCCTGGATCAGCAAAGTCTACCCAAGCTAAATTACTTCTCTAATGATCCAAAAACAAAAATAAGTCTCTGGACAACACATTTCTATGGAGGTGTGTGAGGGGGTCTGGATTATATAGTGAAAATCCCAATTTTTTTACATGTCAAGTCCCCCTTAAATAACCAATCCTAAGGTGACATTAAAAAAAAAAAATCATGTAAAAACTCTGACGTACATTTCCCATAAACCAGTCTTATAATTCACACAATTTCCCTTCCTTTACGACAAAATATAAAATGATTGAGTATCTACTGTATGAATATAGCCAACTCCTGGCGCCGAGGTTCATGAAAACATAGAATAACGAAACATGTGGCAGCTCACATGCTACTATGTATCATAATGATACATGCCATGTGCTGTAATAAATAGACAAGTGAGTTACAGAAAAAGTTACATTTCCCAGGACAAATAATGTCAGGGAATGTCAGAATAACTAGAAGTCTCTGGAGAGAATATGAATCTTCAAGTGGATGTCTCACAGTAGCCAAGCAGCTATATATTATATATATCATGGTAACACGTGAGAAAATATTGAATAGACATGCTTTTAACAAATTGAATTACAATATAATTCTTAAAAATGACAAAACAATGCTAGATTTAATATTCCACAATGTCCATTGAAATACACATTCTTTCTTTGACAATTCAGGATAGGTAATAGTTTAGGGCTCCCAATATCATTAGATGGTAAGGCTCCAGAAATAGATTTAATGAAACAGGTGTCAGGCTGACAGACACCAATATATAATTGGTATCTATAGTAACAGAAAAAGATTGTATAAGAGAAGTGAAATTTTTAGCTATTCTATATATAGTGAGTACATTAAAGACCAATCTTTTCTGGATATCATGAAATAAACTTACTTTTTAATATCTACCTCCTTTATGACAAAATGTAACGAGACAGGAGCAGGGCTGGATTTACCCTCCTTTCTGCCCCAAGGTCAGTTTTCTTAATACGCTCCCGTAGTCCATTATTACATGTATATTAATGCATATGTGTTAGAGTAATTTTAAATTCTGCTTCTAATAATTTTATATATATATATATATATATATATATATATATATATAAAATGGACTTGGTACTCCACCATAATTGTAAATAAAGTCTGACTTGCCTGGGTGCTAAAACCCACGCTCAAAAATACATAAAACAAAAAATCAGGGTGCACTCACAGGTCTTCAAATATCCATTTTCACGATGTACAAAAATCAGTCAACGCTTCGACCCATTTGGGTCTTTTTCAAGGTAGTACATATAAATAATAATATGATACACATATATTAATATGCAGGACTACATATATACACATGAATGATACACAATTTAAAAGTATTGTTTTTGTAAAAAAAACTTTGGCCTTTGTGAAGACTCTTGCACAATCACTGACCAATGCAGACACACACTCACACTGATCCATGCAGACACACACTTGCCCATGCAAACAAACTCACACTGATCCATGCAGACACACACTTGCCCATGCAAACAAACTCACACTGATCCATGCAGACACAAATACTGACCCATACTACTCACTGGTATTCTTGATTTTATGGCAGGACAGGAGGCTTCATATTTGCTTTACCTTCTTTACTGAAACCTCCAGCAGCAAAGAAACAGTTAACAGAACTTTTCAAAACAACCAATCAGAACAAAGCAACAGTAGTATAAAACCCCTAAGCAGGCTCTTCCACTTCCTCTTTCTTTGCTGCTGCCTCCAGGTGAGCACTCACCAACTCAGAGTTGTCTCTGCTCTTGGTTGTTGTTTTATTCTACATGCTGCTTGTTTATTTAAACAGGCTATTTAATCAGTCTATTTGTTAGGTTTGTTCAGGCAGCTTAATTGCTGGTTTTATTTAGGCAGTCTATTGCTGTGTTTAGCTAGGCAGTCTATTGCTGAGTTTATCTAGGCAGTCTATTGCTGTGTTTATCTAGGCAGTCTATTGCTGTGTTTATCTAGGCAGTCTATTGCTGTGTTTATCCAAGCAGTCTATTGCTGTGTTATTTCCTATACCACTTCATGCTATGTAGCTGCTGTATCACTTGTTAACATCTGTTGCTGTATTGAGGCTATTTATCTGATAGATTCTGTATACTGCTCATTGATTTATCGTTATTCTGGGTTACTTTATACTGTTTTCTCACTCTGCTGTATGGGGAATGGGTGCCCCTGCTATGATGCTTTGGCTCTGCCTGTAATCTGTTCCCCTGCTGGGCTCTGTCGCCCATACCCTTCTCCCTTATTCCCCACCTGCTCCCCGTGGCCCCTGGCCGCTTGCAGTGCCGCACGATCACCACGCGGTAGGCCACGCTCTGTTTTTGCAGCCACGGCAGCCATTTTGTTGGAGCCGTGGCGGCCATTTTTCAGAGCCACATGGGCTCTGTGCGTTGCGAACAGCCAGGTCTCACCCAAGAACTGGCCTGCTGGCCATGTGGCCACCCTCCTCTCTCCCTATATCAAGGGAGATAGCCCAGTTTTTCAGCTATCCCTCTACTTACTGTGCCTGTCTCACATGCTGCATATGTAACAGATCCTGGATAGCAGAATCTGTCCCAGGCATGCTCACAACTGCAGCTTACTATGTCTGATGCAATGTGACTAGGTTCTCTATCTTAGCAGTAGACTTGTCACACTTTTTTTACTATTACATGTGAATCTCAGATTTAAATGTTACTGCTCAAATAAAAATCTTTGTTTAACAAGAATGTGCCACATGTGTTATATGCTAATCAAGTCTTCCTCTAAGGTTCAGTCTTTTTCTCATAAAATTAATGGCCTGTTTTTCAGCACCTAGCTCCCCTGCCTAGGATTTGCTGCCCTTCCTGCAAGGGACTTAAATTTTCCACTACACATACACTTCAAAAGTGTATCCTAATATAATACCTGAGTGGTCTGTGAGTCAGCTTCTCGCTATATGGACCCTCCTACCCCTCAGCGGGGCTACTGGCCCCACATTCAGACCTGTTATTACTGGGGGGTGAACCCCCCCCATCCATATTTCTGGGGCTCTACCTGCTACTGGACCATAATAATGGACGTGTGACACCATTGTGGGCTGGGTGACCCCCTCCCTCTGGCAACATGGCTACCTATGAGTACCCTGCTGGCTCTACAGCGTCCTGTAAGATTAATGCTGAGGGTGACCCCCTCCTGCTTCCTATACTAATGCTCCGGCAATATCCTGCTATTATCATACCGAGGGGGTACCCCTCCTGCAGTCTGCACTGCAGGACCTGCAGCGTCCGGGTATTCCCATAAAAGAGGGTACCCCTCCCACTGATTGAGCTTCTGTTCTTACAGTGCCCTGCAATACGCAGATACTGAGGGTGACCCCCTCCTGTGGACTACTCTGCTGGACCTACAGGGTCCCGTTATAACCATAATGAGGGTGACCCCCCCTCGCTGACTACACTGCTGGGTGTACAGACCTCTATGATACCACACTGAGGGTGACCCCCTCTTACCTACAGCACTGCTGGATCTGCAATGCCCGGTTCTGGTTATATGAGGGTGACCCCCTCCTGCCGTCTACACTGCTGGACCGGCAATGTTTGGTTACTTTATTATACGGCTAACCACTTCGGCACTACTGTACCTACAGTGTCCGATTATGTTCAGACTGAGGGTGACCCCCTCCCCTGCTGGCCTAAACTGCATGGTATGCTTGTGCTTGTTGGGTGACCCCCTCTTGCACGCTGGGTGACCCCCAGCTGGCCGCACCACTGTACCTACAGTGTCCGATTATGTTCAGACTGAGGGTGACCCCCTCCCCTGCTGGCCTAAACTGCATGGTATGCTTGTGCTTGTTGGGTGACCCCCTCTTGCACGCTGGGTGACCCCCAGCTGGCCGCACCACTGTACCTACAGTGTCCGATTATGTTCAGACTGAGGGTGACCCCCTCCCCTGCTGGCCTATACTGCATGGTATGCTTGTGCTTGTTGGGTGACCCCCTCTTGCACACTGGGTGACCCCCAGCTGGCCGCACCAGGTATCATTTGTGCAATCACGGCTGAAGGACAAATCTCCCGTACCCAGAAGGTCACTTGGCCTGTCCTCTTGCCGCTCCGCTGACCTCACTGCCAGAAACCATCGGTGCCCTACAGGGACACTCCACCGGCCATCCTAGACGCTACACCAAGCACCCCTGGTACTCGTTGGCTAACGGATGGATTCATCAAGAGGATCAGTCTTCATGACGGAGTCCGGAAAGGACACCGCAAACACCTGACACGGGGTTTGCACTCTATCTGGGACTAACCAGTGGGTGTCGGTGACACGCGGACACAGATGTTTCCTTGGGACGAACGGCACGTTACCGCTTGGAAAGCGGAGAAGACTAAATTCCCACTGGGAATGGACCGATATGACTTATAGGTATCGCCTAGTTGGTTTCTACCCCTGAGAACCGCAAAACGGCCCCTGTCCAAGCTGGACATCAAACTGATGGATTTAGCATCCAAGTGCTGGGTCTGCTCTCCGGAGTTACCCTCGTCTACAAATTGAGCCGACATGTCTCTATTCATAGGGTTCCCCCTTAACTAGCCCAGAGGTCTCTCTGGCCGTGCCCGGACTCCAGATCAAGGTTGCGGAACCTTGGACCGTTCCATGAGCGATACGCATGACCAAAAGAGGCATCCATTCCGACTCATTCCGCAGTTGCCCTGCTGGGCAAAGGGTGCGGTGGAGTGGACTCCCGCCCCATCCCCACGCTACATGCTCCCAGTGCAGGTCGTCTGTTGACACATTTTGAGACGGAGGGCACTCATCCCCTCTGAGAGCTGCTCGGCGTTGACGATTGGTTCTCTCCCTCAAATGCACATGAGAGAAACCCGCATGGATTTTGCCATCTACATGGACATATTGAATCTGACTCACTCCAAGTCAACCCAGTTTCCGGTCTTTCATGGAATATTCGGTCCAGGCGGTGCTCCGCCTCCCGAGGACCAAGATGTCTGTCTTCAAGGAAAATACCAGGTATATGCTTCGCAACCTGCGGGTTACACTTAGGGGCCCAACCCGGTTAATGGACCGGTGCCTATTCGCCATGGAAGCCATACCTCAAGGATCCGGTACTATCAGCCGCTCCAACATGGCGCTTTCTCGGGTCTTTGGCCTGGTATGACCAAATCATGTGACCTTCGGATGAAGCTCATCTAAGACTTAATTGATGACTCCGGAGGAGGGACTCCTTTACGCCAACTGCATGGAACTACCTGCAGGTTTGTTCAAAATTCACAGTATTGCTCGCTACCTTCCGGCATGGACTTCTCACCGGTTGCCCACTACGGACTGCAGTCGGATCTCACATAGGATCGCTATCTATAGCTTCTGGACAAGTATTCGTCATTTGTGACAGAATGTATGCGGGACGAGACACTTGTGTGGCGGACGGCTTCACCCGGCCATGGAGAGACCCCAATGATTGGTTGCCTCACCCTCCAGGGTCTCGAGTACTGGCATGATTACATTCGGTGCGAACCGCCATATGGAGCGGTTCTCCAACTGGCTGCCGGACCCTCAGCGAGGCGAGGGACGAGTTTTCCAAGCTTGGTCTCCTTCGGGGCGTACGCATCCCGTTTACCTACAGGATACTCTGGGTTTTTGCTTCAGACCGAATTCCTGGAAGTGTCGTTTCGCCTGGCCAAACCACTTCGGAGGAGTCCTGCGTGCTTTCCCCTTTTTGCTCGAGTTTGCCATGGGAAGGCAATCTACGACTCCCTGTCTCTTAATGTCCCACTTGGGATCCACAGGGGTAGCCTGCCACGACTTGTGTTTGGGTCCCAATGGCGGTCCTTATCATGGCTGTCCCCATTGTCTGGCTGAGTTGCCCTCTCAGGGTAGGATCGTATGGGGCCATTCACGTCCTATGTCAGCTAGTGGACGACTCATGTGCGTTTCTCAAGATTCTGGCATTGCTAAGGATCTCTTGGTCTGCAGTCTACCAAGAGGAGTATACCGTACGGGAGCCCTATCTCTTGACAGTTTTTTCCGCTTACGGTTTCCCCCCAGTACATCTTGTATTTCATCGCGTTCTGACGTCATGGTATCGACGTGTCTTCTTCCTTCTTGCCGTTCAGTACATCGGCTTCTGCACAACACATATTTCATTTTTATTCGTCCTCTGTGTCGTACCCCTATTCTCCGGATAGGCCACAGCTCTGTTGACAGATTGTACACGACCATGTAGATCCAGGATCTGGCTCTTTCGTCCGTCTACTCATGGACAGCTGTTTATTTCTGCGTATGGCCGTTTTGGACTGTTTCTGCATCTTCGCTCGCCCGTTGGATTTGGTGGATCCTCTCATTGACTGACCTTGAGTTCCTCTGTGACACTTTTGGTTCGGGGTGCTGTCACCTCAACAATTTTGGAAGCCGTTGGGTCCCTTCTGCATTTTCTCTACACCGCTGCTTTGTTTAGGGAATCAGTTTTTCCATTCTCCTTTATTTCAGTCCTCTATCTCATATTGCTTCTGGTTCTACTATTTGGGCGTTAAAATTGCAAATATGAAGCCTCCTGTCCTGCCATAAAATTAGGGATTATTCTAGCCTCGGTGAGGGAATAATCTAAATTTTATTAAAGACAGGAGGCGAATATTTCCCCCCCTTTTTTTTACGTTCCCTCCCTGGATCTGGGTTTTATTCTATTATAAATAATTGGGGATATTGTTTATGTTTTGTGAATGCATGGTTTTACATAATAAAGGTTATTTCTAATATTCAGTGATGGTTGTCCGTGTGCGTTTTATTCATCATGTTTGTGTTGTAATTATGTTTCGTCAATGCCTTTTAGCTTAGGTACATACTAGGTCTTCATAAGATCTGTAGACTTTGTTTATTCATCAGGTATTATGATGTGAAAGTGATATTGTATGGATATGACATCTTGCCTTGACAGTTTACTTTCACAATGTTTTCTGTTTTCTTGCAGTGTAATCTGTTTTCTCTCTGGGCTTGACGATTGTTTCTCTGGATGTCTGCTACAAGGTGGATTCGTTGGTTTCCTTGCTCTCCTGCTCGACCTCATCAAAGAAAGAGGAAGTGGAAGAGCCTGCTTAGGGGTTTTATACTACTGTTGCTTTGTTCTGATTGGTTGTTTTGAAAAGTTCTGTTAACTGTTTCTTTGCTGCTGGAGGTTTCAGTAAAGAAGGTAAAGCAAATATTCGCCTCCTGTCTTTAATAAAATTTAGATTATTCCCTCACCGAGGCTAGAATAATCCCTAATTCCAGTAAAAATGCTACAGTATGTTTAAAGTAACACGCCAGACACCATAACCATTACAGCAGTTGACTTCCTACCTGGAAGCACAGGATGCTGCTCAGCCCGTGAGGCTGCTGCTCCTGCATAGTAACTTCTGTTCTGAAACTTGCCCTGGCTTTTCTCTGAGACTGAGAGCTCCAGCCATCTGGCTAAGATAGTGAAAGTGGGGATCAGTGCCAAGCAGACAGCAGGTAAGAATTCAAACTACTTTAAAAAAAATTGACTACTTAAAAAGAGGGGGGACGCCTAGCACAATAACCAGTACAGCTTGTTTCCTTAACATAACAAAGAACATAATGCATTTTATGGGTGCAAACTTGGAGAAGCTTAATGTGTTAGTTTAGAGTGTTAATGGTTCTTTCATTTAAAAGTAACAGATAAGTGGCTCACTTACTGGATCCGGTCTTCAGAAATCCAATACTGAAATTCCCTAAAGTCTGACACTCAACATTTTTTCCAAACAACTACTTATCTATCCAAACTACATCACATTACTGGATGTTAATATCAGTTCACATAATGTGAACTAATGAATAAATAATCACAATTAGTTATGACAGTCAGTTTAATGCATTAGGAATGGCTTAGTGAAAAGTCCAGATTTTGTGAATGAATGATCCTTTTCTGTTTGTGTCATCAAGTATAAATAATTGATTAACTTACAGAATTGGTTTGTACATTCAGAAGTTGCAGCCTATGAGGAATCTGGGATGTGAATGGAGGTATTTGAAACCTAGACTATATGCATTAATAATCACCTGCAGAAGATCCTAATCTCTGGAAGATCTATCTAACGAGTTTGTATTGCAGTGTGTTCTTTTATATTCCAACTCTTTAGAGTGTATTTTTTTAAACTAGCACAAAGACAAATGTATCAGACTGTGATAATCAAACCGTGTTTTGAGACAGACACTGACATTTAATAGGACATTGCTATTAGCTTTTGTGTGCTTTTAATGTTATGTTTTTCATTTTAACTTGTTTTTAAGCATTTTTGTCAAATGTAGGGTTAAAAAAAGCAAATAAATAACATTGTAGACTGAATTGCAACAATTGAGCATAAAAACAATATTGTTTAAAAAATACATATCTTTAGCTCAAAGGTACCTACCCCCCATGAAAAACACACACTTTGTTGTGATCGTGGCTTAAAGACTAAAATTAGTATCTTAATATATAATAATTAAGCAATAAGTAACAACGTTAATATTTTTATAGTTCTTGGTATTATGGTCGAATATGTGGATAGAAAATATACAATATTATAATACTAATGTATATTTAATATAATTATAATAACAGATGCTAGCAGAATTCAGTTTACTGCAATAATTCTACAATACATAACTAAAACATATTACTTACATAGGGCTATAACAGATTTAAATTTAACAGTGGATTAATATTACTTACAAGGCCCCAGCCCTTTGGTTGGGGTTAAGTCAGAGCTGGTACTACATCCTAGATTCAGTCTGGAAGGGCAAAGAGACGGCTGAAAATCTCTTACACCTGTTTTTTATTCCCAGTGTATTCCAAAAGTAGGCTGGCCTGTAATGTCACTGCAAGAAGCACATGGCTTAAGGACACAGCACCTAGTGGTACCTCTAAAGCATGATCTGTTTTATGTAATAAATCATTATTTGAATTAATTACACACTTATAGTGAATCTTGACTACACACACTCTCAATAGGCTCAATAAATGAGGAGGAGAAATACAAATCATTTAGATAAACTACTGTCCCTCTCTATATGAATAGTAAAGCTGATTTTGTATCCCTCTTATTACATGTTAGGGTCTCACAGATTTTTCTTCAGAAGGCTGGCGGAGTTTGTGACTGACACAATGTTTTCTCCCACCGCCATGCAAACCATGCATCGGGAAACAATAAATGCTAAAACTAGTGAGTTACCCTCAAGAAGTCAGCTTCTGAGTCATGTCAGTATATTAATCCTGGCAGATATTTTGTGTTAAGATAGAAATTAAAAGTGTATACTGTCAGTCACCCTCAGAACAGAGGTGGCTCCATTTTGTATTACAAGACAGACACAAGATTTCTCTCTCTATCACTCTATTCATTCACGTCTGAGCTAAGAAATGCAAGTTTTATAAACAAGACAAGAGATAAGGCATGATGTCTAACAGCAAAAGGGGAATGGAATGGTACAACCCAGAAATATATATATACACACACACATATACATATACATACAGTTGTTGGGAGTTTTGCACTCCAGCTCTCCTTTCAATATCAGCCCAGTGCTCAGCTGCACAAAAACATAACATCCAGACAGAAGGATAGCACTCGAGGACTTCAATGTCAAAAGTAAAAACTTTTAATCCAACTTGTCAAATAGTCGACGTTTCAGTCCACAATTGTGAACTTTCCTCAGGACATATTATTTACTAATGTTAGTGGAGTATAAATAATCTTAAACACAGTTTCACACAAGAAAACCAGACACAAAATGAATCTTACAAAATTGCACTGTAAGAAAGAGGTGAAGAAGAGTTTAGGCATGTCAGAAAATAAATTTAAAGGTATATCCCAGACACTCAGACTGGAAAAACCCTTTGAAGATGGCAGGTTCTGTGATGTATAGTAGCCATAAAGATAACAAAAATGATGTAAAAAGCATCACAAAAAAGTTAACATCATACAAAAAGGTAAATGGACCCCCTGACAAGAATTTTCTGTGATGTAATTGCGCCATCTACTGACATAAATCTAGATCATAGTCTGTAGGGAAGACACACCCACAGTTCCCCATTGGTCCCATCAACCAATGCAGAGAATTTCTGTTTTAAAAAGTAAGGACTAAGGGAAGAGAGGACACTCTCTGAAACACACTGGGACACCACAATTACACTCTGGGACTGGACTCAAGGCTCCCACTTCCAAACTCTCAAACACTCTCCTGGACACACCTAATTCTTAGCATTTTCTTTTCCAACTAACACAACTTCAGAACTCTGAAAACGTTTCTATTTTCCACAATTCTCATCATACTTGCATTCGAAATTCCTGGGACATATCTACACATCTGATCTACAACATAACTGGTAATTATGCTGGTTTTATTTAATTAAAATAAATAAATTTTTACTAATAGCAGGAATATATATCTGGATAAATCTTGATCAGATTTCAATTATTAGAAATCATAATAAGCTAAGGAATATATGGTTATAAAAATTCAATTTCTGCAGGGGGAATAAAGATAATGATATATGAACGGTAAATTTGCCAAATGTTAGCATATCAAATTTTTATTCAGAGGTATTGACTTGTTCTGAAATAAGATAGTGAATCTTATTTAGGAAAGTTAAAATTTGGCAAACGTAAAATCTAGTTAGAATTATTCTCATTGGATGGACTTAGGAATGGTAAATGACCTGTTATGAGAATATTGTAGTAAAATTACAATATAAGAGGATATCTTGCCTATGAGAATTGTAGCTAGGAGTGAAAGAGTTAATTCAGTGTGATTTGACTGTCAACCAAAGTTTTTATTGCTTTACGCTGGGCTGCTGTGAAGTTCTGTCTTCTCTGTGAATTTAGTGGAGTGTCCTGTTGTAAATCTTAAACTGTGGACAACTGTGCATATAACTGTTGCTTTTAGCTGTCTATATTGTGTTAAACCACTGCCATATTGTATACTTATGTTATACCTAAATATTCACTGATTATTGTCACGCATGTTACATATACTATTTTATTATTATTAAAATAATATTTTTATAATTAATTTGTGATTACTGTGTGAAGTTAAATCTTCTAGTGAAACTTCCTCTAGGATCTAAGAGAATTAAAATAGTGGGTAGTTTTCAGCTGTAAATCATTAATTGGGGAACAGTGCCAAGATATAATAAGAATTATTAAATACATTTTTGATAATTTTTATGAAAATATTATTTTTAATATTTATCACCCCATAAATATCCTCACAGTCATGATAGTTAACATCACACATCGTTTTTTAAATCTTATCTCCGAACAAAGCTTTTTTTTTTTTTTAGATTTGTTGTTCTAGTGATCTAGAGTAGTCAGTCTAGTCTGTACAGTGAGGGGAAAAAAGTATTTGATCCCCTGATGATTTTTAATGTTTGTCCACTGACAAAGAAATGATCAGTCTATAATTTTAATGGTAGGTGTATTTTAACAGTGAGAGACAAAATAACAATAAAAAAATCCAGAAAAACGCATGCCACTAAAGTTATAAATTGATTTGCTTGGTGGCAAAACCCTTGTTGGCAATCAAAGAGGACAGATGTTTCTTGTAGTTGGCCACCAGGTCACATCTCAGGAGGTATTTTGTCCCACTCCTCTTTGCAGATTCTCTCCAAGTCATTAAGGTAGCAATTTCCACTGCAGTGTTCTAAGTGTTCATCTGGGAGGCCGCAATTCCTATGGACGACCACGAGGTGGTGGCCATCTTGTTCGCATGAACGCAGCGGTGTTTGGGCATGAATCTCATGGAACTGAAAACGGACACAGAAACTCCCGAACACCACTGGACTTCCAGCATCGCCTGCGGTCGGTCAGAAAAGGGCTGTTCGGTGGAAATGTTCCACTGAACAAGGGGATCATTCTTCAGTGTAAGACTATTGACTCTGTTTGGTAGTTTGTTTGTTTTTAAACTACCGAACTAGACCGACCTTAAGTCCTGATTCTCTGGAACTGTTTTGGGCATGGGACCATGCGGGCGCTCGGTCAAAATTAAGATTTCCAGGAAATTCCTGAACTGATCTGGGTGATTTGGGACGGGGACATAAAGAATAATTCCCAATAGGGAATTATTCTTTTTTTTTTATATT